TGGGCCAGCCCCGAGGCTGGGGAGGAACATGCCCACGTGTGGGGCCCCAAACTGGCCGCGGGCTTCCGGACAGCTGAGCCCCGACCCCGGCATTTCTCCCGGCCCCACAGACTCCGTCAGGGTCCGGAAAGCCCTGGAGGTGAGACTGGGGGTGAGCACTCAACACCTGGTGCCAGGCTCGCGGCCAGGTGGGCAGGAGGCCAGATGGACGGGAGCTGGGCCTGCAAACCCAGAGGCTGCGCCAGGGGGCGGCCGCGGGAGGGGTGGCTGGCCGGGGTCCGCCAGGACTCCGCCATTCTGGCTGGCCGGGGTCCGCCAGGACTCCGCCATTCCGCCTTCCCCTCCTCTCCTTCCCTTCCCTCTTTCCCCTCCCGCACTTTTTCCCTTTGGAGAACAGGCCTCCACCCCTCCAGCCTGTCGGCCTAGACCAGTGATGGCGAACCTATGACACGCGTGTCAGAGGTGACATGCGAACTCCTTTTTTTGGTTGATTTTTCTTTGTTAAATGGCATTTAAATATATAAAATAAATATCAAAAATATAAGTCTTTGTTTTACTATGGTTGCAAATATCAAAAAATTTCTATATGTGACACGGCACCAGAGTTAAGTTAGGGTTTTGCAAAATGCTGACACGCCGAGCTCAAAAGGTTCGCCATCACGGTGCTGTCCTCTCCTCTGTTTTTACTCTTTTTACTTATGCTCTCCCCTCTGTCTGAAGTGCCATGTCCCCTGCATGTCACCAGACTGACTCTTGCTCCTTTAAAAAGACTCAGGTCTTTCTTTGCAACTATGGTTGCAAATATCAAAAAATTTCTCTATGTGACACGGCACCAGAGTTAAGTTAGGGTTTTTCAAAATGCTGACAGGCCGAGCTCAAAAGGTTCGCCATCGCTGGCCTAGACAGACGGCCGAATGCCACTGGCCCTGCCCTCATTCTCCCAAGCTCCGAGGCCTGCTGGCAGCTCCTCCTTTACCAGGCGGTGGGTGGGGGCCCTGGCCGGGCGGCTCAGCTGGTTGAGCATTGCCCGGTGCACCGAAAGGTTGTGGGTTCGATTCCCGGCCAGGGCACGTGCTGGAGGCAACTAATCAATGTTTTTCTCTCAAAATCAATAAAAAATGTTTAAAAAACATATCCTCCGGTGAGGATAAAATGATAATAAAAGGGGGTGGGGGAGGAGTCTGCAATTCCATTTAACACAGAATTTCCCAGACACGGGTCTTCCCTCCCACAGGGCATCGGAGTCCTCAAGCAGAGGACACTCAGGACGCGCCGCCCGGGGGCAGCTGACAAGGTGTCCCTCCTGTCACCAAGGCTGCCAACTCGCTGACAAGGACCCAGGGCGTTACTTGTGGGGCCTAATGAACAAAATAAACTGACGAACAAAACTGGTCCAGAGGCACGGATGCCTGGGGCAGACCGAGACCTCACAGGGGAGGGGTTGCAGGGGCGGGAAGAGATCAACCAAAGAACATACATGCATGTATGCATGGCCCATGGACACAGGCGACGGTGTGGGCAAGGCCTGGGGAGGGGAGCTGAGCAGAGGGGGGCAATGGGGGACATCCGTAATACTGTCAACAATTGTAAAAAAACATTTTAAAATCCAGAACAGTCCGGGGCAATCACCGCAGCACCGACCCAGCGTTTATTCAACAGACACTCGGGAGCACCAGGTCCGAGCAGGCATCGGCTCCGCCCCGAGGCCACGGCGCAGGGGCAGGTGTCTGCTGGTGCTCACGTCCTGGCGGTCACACAGGTCACTGTGGATCCCACCGGGGAGGGACCCTCTGCCTTCGTCTACAGACCTTCCCAGGTCTTGGTCTTTATCCCTCAGTCCCCAGAGCAAAGATAGGCTGTGGGACGAAGGGGGGGGGGGGCAAGAAAGGTTCCTGAATGCAGACCCCTAGGCCTGCTCCAGACCCCAGACTCGGGGGGAGGGGCCTGGAATCAGCATTTTGATCTCAGGTGCTGGCTTTTCGTCCTAAAGCCCGAGGCCTGGTCTGGGGCTCTGAGGAGCCAGCGGCCCTTCTGTCCACGCCCATGGGGACCAGGAGCTGCAGCCCCAAAGAAGGGGAGGCCCATCGTGGCCTGGCCACGGGCAGGACACGTCGCTGGGACCCGGCACCCCCGTGGAACCCCACCTGTGACCAGTCCCCAGGGGCCCCCATGTAAGACTCGCCTGGCCTCACCCACAGCCGGGCCCACACCCACCTGTTGCCCCAGCGGAAGTGTGATTTTGCACAATTAGCCAACCTCTTCGGCCTGTGTCTTCAGCTGTGAAGTGGGGGTGCCGATGGCCGCTTCCTCGTGGGACGTGGGAGTGAAGTGAGACACTTGTGAGGGCTACCCGGGCCTTGCACACAGTAGGTGCTCGGGGAGAACTCCGGAGCGACCTTCCTCACAGCCTCTGCCCTTGGGCGCCCAGGCCTCAGGCCCCCCCAGGACGCCCTCCGTCCTGCTCTCACCTCCTGTCTCTCCGCACGAGCCCTGCCAAGGCGGGCGTTCTCCTGTGCAGCCGGGGGCCCGCCACCTGTCACTCGCGAGCTCACCTGGACCTCCCCACGTGCCCACCCAGCGCGCTCCGCCACCCCTGCAGCCCACGGCCCTTCTGTGTTCTCTATGCACACGTGTGTGGACACCTAGTTGTGCACGGACACAGGATTCTGCACACGTGGGCGTGCCCGCACGTGTGCACAGGTACAAGCACACACGTGCACGCACACATGCACGTCCTGCGCGCACACGGACGTGCCTCACGTCCCAGCGCCCCGAACACCCACAGTTCCAAGCGCAGGGCCGCGTCCGGAAGTCCGTGGAGCCGAGCTTCCTTCCTCGTCCTCTGATTCGCTACAAACCACTTCCATTTCCGCAGAAAGTTCCGAGCCAGTTCCCGACCGTTCGAGAGTCGTGTTGCTGTTTTGTTTCCGGGGGAATCTAGTTTGCTGTAGGACACGGGACTTCCGGGTGCTCCTCTCAGCCTTTGATTGGCTGTACTTATGCATATATTAGAACACGAAAAAAAAAGGTTTTCCACGCGCTAAAATGAATATGGGGGGTTTTAGTGTAGACAGTGTGGTCCCTGTAGGATGTGAGTGCTCTCTCTCGTGTCTCTGAGACATGTACATAAACTCACCATGACCTAAAAGTGATGGGATCGGAGGACTTTAAATAGCGATCGACGCCATGCCCTGTTTGTGTTGTATGAAAGGAGAGAAGGTTAGCACTCCCCCTGACAAGGATGGAAGAGGCTCTCGGGCCTAACAACACACATACGGTTAAGGCATTGCCACCTACTTCGTGGCATCTAACCACTGTTTTTTTTTCTTCTGCCCCAAGTACAATGGACCACGTGACTAACAGACCTACCTGCGTGCACAGACCTGTGATGCACCCATGGGCGGTGCACAGACACGTGACTGCTTTGCCCTTTGAGCTGCGTGGCATTCCACTGACATGAGCACACTGCCTCCGGTCTTACTCCGAACTTCCCTCCTTCCCGCGCACCAGCCTTTGGATGGGGTAGTTCGTGGGGTGGTTCGTCTGCCAGGAAAAACGGCCACCTTGACTTGGGCCAAAAAAATAAGAGGGCTCGCTGGTGCCCTCGGTGCAGGCCCTGCCTCTGGTGTCTCAGCCATTGCCCAACATACAGGGAGCTGGGCGTCGACTGTCACCTAGAGATGCCGAAGCTGTGCGGGGGGAAATGACTGTTGCCCTGTGGGTTTCCACCACTCCTGCCAGTTTTGAATCCATTTGCAAATTCACTTCAGCATGTGTACACGGACATGTGTGTATGTAGTATGTACTTCTGGTTGCTTTGTGTTTCCTATGTAGGTTGGTGTTTGAATTCTTCTGAATCGGTGGTGACAATTCCAGCCACGGAGCTGCTGGACGGCAGGGGCAGGGCGACCAGGCGCAGCCGCGGGCCTGCAGGCGAGCCCGGCCTCCTGGTCAGGGGAGGGACGCCGAGCAGCTGGAGATCAACCACCAGGCACAAGCAGGCCTCCCGGGGCAGTTGACACCATGCTGTGAACGTGTCCGAGCACACGGACATGTGTATACACCTTAGCTTGTTTGCTTTTTGTTCCTTTCGTTTTTGTGAAGCATGCGGGCATACATTCTTTTTTTTAAGGTATTAAGGCAACTGGGAAACCTGGATAGCGAATACTTGACTGAAGACTATTTTAGGTGTGTGACGATGGTATGTGATAAGGTTCTGGAAGAAAGTTTTTTTTAGCCCAGCTAATGCGGCTCAGTGTTGACCTATGAACCAGGAGGTCTCGGTTCAATTTGGTTGCAGGCTCGATTCCCAGTGGGGGCGGCGGCAGGAGGCAGTCAATATATTTTTTATAAAGAAACCTCTTTTAGATTCTACGTATTTGCTGCCTAGAGAATGAAACCCCTGGGACTTGCACTAACTAACGGGCAGGGGCAGACAGCAGAGGCGCTGTCTCCGGAGCTGGAGGGCTGGACGTGAGGGTTTCCACTCTCCCTCGTGGCGAAGTCCCGTGACAACCTTCATAGTCGTACAGGCTCATTTTTTAAAAACCATGAACTTTCGCCCGAGGCCCCAGCTGTAATAGGGCCACATCAATTCTACTCCCATAACAGCTACACATGAAGGTAAAAAATTCTCAGGGGACAAAAATACAAGACATGAAAATCTTTATTTCCAAAAAGTGAATGTATTTTTACATAAATCTACAACAGAGAATTCCAATGTAGAAAAAATACACTATATTCAGGATACGGTGCTCCGCACACACCCCTCCTCCCGGGGGCAAACCGACACCAGAACCAACAAAACAAGGAACAAACTCTCCCGGGAACCGCCAGCCAAGTCCCCGCAGCCTCCGCTCTCCTATCAGGACGCTCTGAGCGGGGCGCCCGAGCGATGCACCCTCTCCCTGCGGCCGTTTGTCCCAAAGACAGACAAGCCACGAGCACATCTACTTCCAAGGACGGTCTGTGGCAGCCGCCCAAGGTGCCTCAGGGCTGTCACACTCCCCCTGTGCCACAGTGGCCACCAGGGGGTTCCCAGGAGGCCTGTGAGGGTGGCCCCCACTTCCTCACAGCCCATCAACTCCAGGCCCTACAAGCTTTGTCCACCACTTGGCACCGTCCCGAACCCCAGAACCAGGGCCCGGGCTCAGGAGAGCAGGGGCTGAGACCCAGGCTGTGGATGGAGGTCAGCTGTCTGCTCACCCAGCCCCGGTGGGTCCGCACCTCCCTCACGCCTCCACTGAAGGTCTCAGTGCTGCAGAGTGGGTTCGAACCCAGGGGGTCCTTGCTACATGCAGGGGTCCCAGGAGCCAGCCACTGCCACAAACTGCTCTGCAGTCCTACCCTCACACCCACCGCTGCCCAGGCTCGGCCGGCCGGGAGGGCCAGGCAGGCGGATGCTACCCTGCTCCCTGCCGCCAAGGACTCCTAAGAAGCCTGCCGGTCCTTAGGCCGACAACAGAGGAGAGCCACCGGCTGGTCCCTCGGAGCAGAGCCTGCACCGGGAACTGAGGTTCCGGGGCCTCCTGCACCCCAGTCACCCCGAGAGCCATCTGCAACGTTCAGCAGGACGTTTCAGGGCCGGGCTCCGTCTCAACTAGCCCCTCCCCGAAAGCTCGTCCCCACCGCGTGCACAGTGTTCAGTGCAGGGTCCCGTCCCGGCCTTGACCAAGTCCGTGCACCTGTCAACAGCAGGGAGAGGAGCTGCCAGGGAGCCCGCTGCCAGGGCCCGCCTGCTTCCTGCCTGCGGCGCGGTGTGCTGTGTGCATACCACACACCAGCACCGATCGCCTGAGCACGAGGGTTCAGACATGGCCTCACAGGGTCTGGGTTCCAGACAACCACACGGGGAACCACTACAGGCAGGGCCGGCGGCGTGGGACCGGGTCGGGCAGTGCCTGCTGCCAGCCAGGACCTGCAGAGCCGGGCAGAGAGCCGAGGCGACTGGTCACAGCGCTGGCACAGGCAATAAAACATCAAAAACAGTACAGAACGCTTACTGGGAAAACACCGCGACAAACTGAACTTCACCTCACCTTCTGTCATAAAAAATGAAAAGTTTTGTTGACGGAACACAATAGACTAGGAACTCTTCCCAGTGAGAGGAATCGGCAATGTCACCTCTAGAACTTTCTGGTGGGAACTCTCCCCCTTGGCCTAATGGTCCTCAGAGGGGTCCAGGCCCCGCCCCGACCCCCAGCCTGGATCAGGGGAACCCCAGGCTCCGCCCTGCCCATCGGGTCATCCCGGCCGCGGGCGGGCCTAGCAGTCGCTCTTCCAGAGCTTGATGGTCTTGTCGTTCTCCAGCGCGGCCGAGGCGATGATGTTCTCCGTCGGATGGCACGCCGTCGAGATCACCACGTCTGCAAACAAGAGACGGTCCACACGCTCCCACCCTGCACAGGGACCGGCGACAACCCCAGGGCCGCTCCCCGCCCAGCGCTGACCCCGGCTCGCACAGCCTG